CAGTCTATACTGACTTTGATGGTACGTGCCCTCCTTGCCCGGGGCAGCCCAGCCACGGCGTGCCGAGTTTGGCCAGACCCCGTGCCCCTCCCAGGGCGATGCCCTATAGCTGCGGCTTATCCTGTTTCTGGCGCCTCCAAGTAGCGAGGGCGCCTCTGACGCAGCGGTTCATATCAGGTCTATCGGTAATGGAAACCTTTGGACCCGAAGCAGCTTAGGGTGTTCAGTTGCGTAGGAAAGAAGCAATTCCAGGCAGTGACGCAGCAGTTTATATTTCCCTGTCTTGGAAAAAGCATTTTTTTTCCTAGAGGGCGATCTGTTTACATGGAGGCTTCACCAGTGTCGGATGTTTCCATGTGTGGATATGCAGTTTTTACATGCAGTGCTTTTTTTAACTCGAAGCAATAGCTCTCCCCCTCCCTTTCCGCTGGTGTCCTGGAAATCCCGCATTGCAGATTTCAAAGTGATGGGACAAATACGCTCCCTGAAAATAACGTGATACTAGCTTCAGGGTCAGGCTTGATGGTTTAGAGATGGGAAATCTGAAAATAAGCTTGCACATGATAGAGGATATTTTCCCTTGCCCTTTGAATGTGACTGATGTAACCAAGGGACTTTTTTTTTTTCCGACCTCCATCCTCAGCTGCTGCACTTAACATCTGTTTGTTGTGAAACCCGAACCCCTAGGCCACGTGACCTTCAGCATCACAAATTCTCGTTTTTGTTTGGTATCCAAGGAGCACCGCAGGCAAAGAGAGGGCGGGTTAAAAAGGCTGCTGCAGAGAAGCATGGGGCCTTTTTTTTTTTAAAAAAAAAAAAAAAAAAAAAAAAAAACATAAAAATTGTAAGCAGCCTTATTTTGTTTACTGCCCAGTGGAATTGGATAAAGCAGATTATCCCTGTGTAATAAGGCAGACCTGAGTTTCACCTTCTCCACTCCCTCTCTTCTCCTCCCCGACAGCCCCCTTTGTCCTTTTGTGTCTATTTTTGGTGTGATGCTGCAGACGCCACGTGGTCAGTGAAAGGGAGCTCGCCTTAGTAAACAGTCAGCTGATGGCAGCCCTGTTATTCCTTGCAACAAAATAGCACAACCGGATGGTTGATGGTGTAACTCCACAGATGACCTGAAGTTACACCACTAATAGTTTGGGGCCATAAAAAAAAAATCAAAACCTGCTTTTTTTTTTTTTTTTTTATTATTCCAAACAATGAACTTAATTTAGCCTTAGTAGAGCTACTTGAAGAATGGGAAAACACTAATCCTTTACTTTTTTTCCTGCTTTTAGGAACGAGAGTATACAGCCCGCCAGAGTGGATCAGATACCATAGATACCATGGGAGGTCAGCGACAGTATGGTCTCTGGGAGTTCTGCTGTATGATATGGTTTGCGGAGACATCCCTTTTGAGCAAGATGAAGAAATCTTGAGGGGACGATTATACTTCAGGAGGAGAATTTCACCTGGTGAGTTGTGTGGGGGTGTTGAGTGGGGACTTTTTTTTGTTGTTGTTTTATTTTTTTTAGTTTTTTTTTTTTTTTTTTTTGAGATTATCTTGAATTTACAAAAGTTATGTGTCTGGGTGGGTTGGCTGGTTGTTTTCCAAGACAGTCTCCTTATTTTTCTGATCTGGAATTCCTTCTTTGCTTGTTTCAGAATGTCAACAGCTGATCAAATGGTGCCTTTCACTGAGGCCTTCAGACAGACCAACACTTGAGCAAATTTTTGACCATCAATGGATGCACAAATCTGAAGTAGTGAAGTCTGAGGACTGTGACATAAGGCTACGGACCCTTGATACTGATGTATCGAGCACAAGTTCAAGTAATGAGAGTCTGTGAATTACTAAGGACATCGCATTGGGAGGGGAGCTACAAGCAGAAAGACCACAGTGCTGCTGCCAATACGTAGGAGGGGCTAGAAAAATGCATTCATTATTCTGTAGTTGAATCTTTGTCTGAGGGACTTGATTTTATTTTCCCCTTTTGCTGGTTTCTGCTTTGGAATGAGAGATTTCCTTTGGAAACGCTGATGTTTGGGAGTTGCAGGCCAGTACTTAGTCAAAGACTGACCTTATTAAGAAAGCAGTGACCTCTTGAATACATGGTAAACTTTTTTGCTCTCATAGAGCCTGGACTAGATTTTATTTGCTTTTGAGTGCCTTTTTGAAAGCTGCTTCAGTGGGACTTTCTTTTTTGAGCTGTGTATGTCCAAAGAAGATCCAGTTCATTATAGGAATTTGCTCCCTTTAGACCCAGTGCTGGAGGAAGCAGCTCCTATGATGCATTGGAGAACATGTTCGGTGATTGAATGAAGTAGTCCCATCCACTGGTGATGGAATACTTGAACACAGACATTTCACTCCTGCCCCCGGCCCTTTCCAAATCCAACCCACCTCTGCTGCTCAAAGTATTTCTTATAGCCTGCACAGAAATATGAACAGGTATATCAGCTTTTTTATCAGAAACATTTATTCATGTTTCCTTTTATCATCTCTACCACTGGGCATGAGAAGCCCCTTTCTCAACTCCCCCTGGCCTTTTGTCACCCTGCGAGTCTTAAGAGTATGTATGGGCATGTTGAATGCACAATCAATGCAATATTCAAGGACTTTACTTTTTTTTTCCATACCTGTATAATGTGTTTATGTAAACTTGGTTTTCCCATGTACTATACAGTTATTTATTGTTTGAAGTTTAGAAGACCTCCCACAGGTTTCAGCTGTGGCTATTTATTTGGTTAATTTATTTGGTTAGAGTTATTCAACACTGTGCTTTCCCCTCCTCCCCATGGGAATTCTAGTGGTTTGCCCATGGCACTTTTTTTCTGCATTCCTGTCAACTTTTGTTTAAAAAAAAAAAGAAAAAAGACAAAAAAATATTTCTGACCTTATCAATTTTTGTTGGAAGTTGGAAAATTGTTGTACAAAGTCTAATTTAAGGGAAATAGAATGACTTTTTAAAGTTAGTCAGTATGCCTTTTGTCTGGTATTGCACCAGAAATGTAAAGTAATGCTGTTTGGAAAGGTTTTAAATTATTGACATTGTACAGTCTCCGTGCATTGGCTCTGGAAGGTAGAGTGGCAGAGTCATAAACCTTAATTTATTTTAATAGCTGTGTTTCTGTGATCTGGTTGCATTTATGCAGCTTGGATTTGGATTTTTTTCTTCTGTTTAACAGTGTGAAATGTATGGAGATCATATTTTTTATACAGGTATTTCAATTAAACTTTTTTTGTACATAACAGTTCTGTGTGTCTGTATGCGCTCACTTTTATCTTCGCCATTACTCTTGAATCCAGCTGGGGAACAAGTGTTCTGTTAATGAACTTAACTTGTAAAGGCCTACACCGTCTGACCTGGAGTTAATAGGCCTATGCTATTAACTGGTGGCAGTTTTGGAAGAATTAATCAATCCCTTGTCTTGACTGTACCTACTTCTTGATCACCATATTTGATGTTGAACTGCAATAGGTATATGATGCAGCAGCACTAAGGGCCTGCCTGAAGGGAGCTGGCCTGTGATTATGTATTTTTAACTCTGTAAACACTGAATAACTGAAATACCACTGTACTCATTGTCCTTAAACATAACAAAGAAGCATTTTTGTACTTGCTCATGGTGACTGTTTTCATAGTTGACTTGTTTACTTTCCATTACATTCCATTTCCTTCCTTCCTCTTGCCCCCTTCCTCCTGGGGGTGGAAGAGAATTTCCTGTGGAAATACCAGCATTCTTGGAGAGTTGAGTGCCTGTTTTCTTTCATTTTCTTGTTATCAAAAACACCCAGTGTATTGTATCACTCCATGTGATACTTGGGGGACACGTGAGATTCTCACCCATAGCAGGAGAAATACCCTCAGCATTCATCTTTGTTGGGAGTCAAGTCCTGCAGATTACTGAGTTCATCCTGGTTTCTATAAAGCTGGTGCCTGTTGACCTGACTTGGTCTTTTTGTGGGGGTGGTAATGATTACAGGGTTTAATTACCCCAGAGGGATCTGTAAGGTACATTTAAGGATGTGTTCAGTCATTAAAGGTGCTTTGTAGTATTAATAGTAAGAAGCTAGGCTTAAAATCTGTTGGGTTTGCTTTATTTCCCTTTCTGGAGATCTTTCTGCCAGCTCATCTACTATTATTTTGGTTCCCTGTGGGGAATATCTCACTTGCTGACATCATATCAAGCTCCTGACGCTAACTAGTTTAGACTCAAAATGCCACTGAATAGCAGGAGGTAAAGCAGAAGGGGGGAAAGACCATTTCTGTGTGTGCAGTTTCCTGATGATATGGGGGGAGGGTAGGTAGTTTTTTCTTGTCCATAGAGAGTTCAATTGTTGGGGGGGGAAGACAAAACAAAAAGTGGTTGTGTCCATCAACTTGACTATTTCCTTTTTTTTTTTTTAATCTGCAAATTGCTTTTTAATTTTAGAATTCTCAAGTTTTTTATCAAAATCCCTGTGTATGTTAAGTGTATTCCCTGCAAAACTCACATATACATGAAAACACTTATTATTGCAATTACACAGATGAAAGATTTTGCAGTTAATATTGCTGGGGGTGGTCACACTATCCTGTCCTAAGAGTAGAATGCTTAGAAGTGCAGGTTGGCAGTTGTAATTGATTATCTTTCGCTTAAGAGTAGAGACGCAGATATACTGGAGGAGGGATGATCCCCGTGCCTAGTGCAGATCTTTAGGGAAGCATGTTTCTAACCACAAGTAGTCCCTGGAGAAATTCCAGTAGCTGATGATAATTAACATCTTCCACTCCAGTGGCTTTACATGCTCACAGCTGTTGAGAGTGGTGGTAGCGACCATGAGGGTGAGCTTTCAAAGGGCTACCGGGAAAGCAATTCTAAAAATACATTTGTAAAGCTGTTGCTGATTGCTGAACTGGGTGCTTTCAAAGTTTCCACAGGAGTCTATTTTACTCTATTTTACTCTCCTTGCTCTCGCAGAGAAATGCTGTTGAAGCATTCTGTTTTGCAACATAAAAAAAAAAAAAAAAAAAAAAAAAAAAAAAAGGTTTTCACCTTTTGCTACTGAGGCAAAATGCATTAAAAGGATAAAGGTCAAAAGGACACGGGTGCTGGTGCTGACTCCCCTCTGGGATTAGTTCAACATAAAAGGTATACTTTCAGTACTGCAAAGGCAGCTTTCGTTGTGAAACTCCCCTGTACACTAATAGAAGACACGTGGCTGAAACAGCATATACTGAAAGTAATGATTTGTAAAAATAGCTTTTCACTACAGTTGAATGTTGGAAAATGATGTGTTCATATAGTTCCATTAGCTGAGCGTTACTGTCAAACTGAGCAAGTCAGTGACAGGTCTTGGTTTCTCCTGCACTTCTATCTGTTATTATTTTGATATCATCAAATGTTTCTTCCCTGGGATCCTCCTCTTTATGCTCTCTCTGCATACTCAGTTGGTTTTCCACAGAACAAAGCTTGAAAAGGAAAATTCTGCAGATCATTCAAAACATTACTTAAATTGCAAACTGGTTCAACCTTGACAAATTGATGTAGCTGCAGTCACACTTACGCATGAATGTATGCTACTAGCTTCATAACAGGTATTTCAAATATTCTCCAGTGATGAAAGAGTCTTAACAATATAGTATTTTGTGTAATTAATCTCCCTAACATATATATATATAGGGAGAGAGTATATATATATATTCTTTTGTATTAATTCAAAAGCATACACTGGCATTTTTTTATTTTTTTTTCCAGTTCACTAAGCCTGTATTTACTGAAGCAAACAAAAAAGACCCTTTAAAAAAAATAAATCAAAGGGATATTAGAAAGATTGACAAAGGTGTGTTCTCACCAGACTCCTATGGCTCTCTTTCAGTGGTTTACTGACCTCTGTTGGTGAAATTAAAGTATATGTTCCGAAAATGATGTGTACATTGGAAAGAGAGATTTTAAAATATTGCTGACTGATATTTTTAGATATGGAAGGATACGGCTAATTCTTAAAGGCCCCATAAATTTCGGAAGGCTACAATTTCAGAAAAGAAAAAAAAAAAAGTCAATATGAAAATAGATTTTCATTTTGTTAACTTAGGGCAATACTAAGGTACATGCAGTTGGTGAAAATGTAGCTGTTGGAAGAGAGGAATTTGAATGAAAAGGCTGTCAACTCAGTGTCTAAAGCTGCAGAGGCAGCCTGCCCAGTGAGCCCCCAGTCACTTACATTACTCTTGGCATGAACATTTACGAGCATATTGGCCCTCATTCTACGACATCATTCCAGCCACAATGAGAAGCACTTGTCCTCTGGCATACAGATGGGCAGTAATTCTCAGTAGCATAACTAGATAACATTACAGAACATTGTGGCCCCATCGGTTTATTATCAGTCTAATCTTCCTACTAACAACAGTGATGCTACTATTGGTGACAGAAGGTAAGATGGTGACATTTCAGTTTCATCCTGATACACAGCTTTTCTGATATTGTTGTACTGCGGCTTGCTGTACTTGTAAATTTGTGATCACTTAGCTTCATGGTTAACTGTGCTTGAAAAAATATAATATGGATTTGCCTAAGGGGTTCCTTCAGGTAGCTGATATATCACATGTATTAGGCTTTGGTTGTATTGTAGAACTGATTAATAAAGTGATAAGGAAGCCATAAAACCATGCAACTAAAGATAAATTTAAATCTGTATTTAGACAGAATTCCAAATTAATCTCAGAGAATATCTCAAAACTGATGAATTCATGTGGATCAATAAAAAATATGGGCATAGAGACATAACAGAATATTATTTGCTGAAAGCAGTTGTACTACAGAATCCCAGAACTGGAGAATAACAAGGCAAAATGAAGAGCGGATAAATACTTGAAACTATTGCATAGATTTCCTCAGCTAGCAATGCCACTCCTTCTGTTCCCATAAATTTAAAAGGTATTCAATCTTTTGCATCCTTTACTGCTCAAAATCCTGCTATTATTTATGATATGACCAGGCACACTTGAGTTTTAAGAGATATTATGTGGTTTCCAAATATCTATTACATTTTTCATATTTGTATCTCAGATGCTAGAACTTGTTTTTCCTTGAAAATCCAATGAAGGAAATATTTGCATATGGAAGCATTATGCTTACATAATAATATAAATTCAATATAGGTCTCAGATTAGCTGTGTTTAAGCTCTAATTAATATGGTCTTAGTAGGAATGCTATCTATTCTTGCTAATACTCTGCTAATTGACTATACAAACCATTATGTAAAAAGCTGCTTATAGTAGCAGTAAGAGAATTATTGGGACCCATACTTTAACTTACACTTCTTTCTCAGGTGAGTCTGTGTTAAACTTTGAAATTACATTTGAGTCACGGTCAACAGAGGTAGATCTATGTGGTTCTTTATTTACTGTTAATGACTTAGCAAATCACTTTTACAATTGGGTATAACAAAAGATTGCAGAAAATTATACTAAAAATTGAAAGCTACTTTGCTCTCAGAATTCTGGAAAATGTTTTATAATTTCATGAAACATGCCATCATATATCTAGTTGGATTTTGTTTTATATATATATATACTGGAAAAATCTGTTGAAATAAAAGGCTTTGCTTGAAACACCTCTTTTACTTATTATAGATAGTCTGTTTTCAAGGTTAAACTCAGTGTCTCTCTACTTTTTTGGTTCCCTTGTTTTAGGCCAGGAAAACATAGACAATAAAAATCAGTCTACTCCAGTTAAAAATATAAATATATTATCAATTCCGTTCTATGACTTTGTTTTTGTTTTTTTGTTTGTTTGTTTCTCCTTCTGTTAGTTGTTTCTTTGTTTTTTGTTTTTTTTTTTTGGATGGTTTTATTTCTTTTCCAAGTTTCAAATCCTTATAAAATCATTAAATGGAACAGTTTCTTTCAAATCATCCTATGGAAAGGTGTACATTAATAGTTGGCAAATGTTCCCAACATCACAAACTCTACAAAGATTTTTCTGTTGTTTAAATAGCAAAAACCCTACAATATACAGATTTTCATTAGCATAGAAAAGTATAACAAATTTCAGTTTTCTAGTCTATGGTCTGAGGTAAATAGTTAGCAAAATTAACCCACAGGAAGACAGATCAAGGTTGCAAGGAAGAACTTTGTGTCTGTAAAGATAGCTGAACACCAGAATAAACTGACTGTATAGTACATCAAATCACCATTTTTCATAAGTCATCTAGGAATTCTTGTTCCTGTCTTGGTGCAAGTACAGCCAATTTAGAAATACTAGGGATTTGATCACCCTAATACTCATGAGTTTAGAAAAAAAAAGTTTTCAGTCCACAATGCTCATTCCGCTTGTTGAACCAATATAAAATTTATTGACAGTGTCCCTTTTGCTACTGGCAAAACATAATGCACATTTGACCTAATCAATAGAAGTAGTGACAGAGACTTTTTCATGATGGTGAAGCTATGGGGTTACTGACCTTCTCTCAAAGCCAACATCAGCTAAACTGTTCCTCCCTCACACCATCCTTTCCTTTTGCTAGTACACTGACATTCAAATCAATAAACTGATCTCTGTGATAATGATCCAGACTAAGTGAGGGAATATGCACAACAGCTTGGGACTGGCATGTGGAGGAATAGAGATTTTATTGCAAAAGAAAAATATGTGTAATATCAGGCTTACTTTTTTTTTGGTCTGTGCTATCAAAGGAATCCCATAGTTTCTATCTTATAATTTATGCAACAAAGAATTTAATTTTACAAGGAATGTTGACAAATCCTACTATTTTTAACCTTGCATGCAAGCTATTTTAGATGCTCATTTTTATTTTTTTTTTCAGATTAGGTGCTGAGCACCTGCTTGACAGGCATGCAGTACCTCACCTCCTGATGAAGCAGAACTTCAATCACTTGGAGTCTTGTAAAGATTACAACATAATTCATGAATATTTTTGCACATCTTGGTATTATGCCCTATTTTGTAACCAGCTTCACAGGTACAATTGTAAATGAGACAATACATTAAACGTATCAGAATAGCTAATAAATGATGACACTTTTCAGCTATGCACCACAAAAAACAATTGCAGCGATAAGAGTAATGCAGATGAGTTGAGAGATAAAACTTTGATTTATGATTTTATGCCAAGATCTATGATTTCCCTATTTCTATGTCATTTTCAGTTTCATCAGCAAATATAATCTAATCTCCTTTGTCATCTCTAGGGTACTTCTACTGATACTCATACAATACATACATGTATTGTATTCCAGTATACTTAAAGGAAAGCTACAACAACTGATCTTGGAAATCTTGATTAATCCCTATGTAAACCATGAACTTTGAGTGCATTTTAAAGATACACTGTTCTCCAGTCTAGTGCTTATTGTGGTGATTCACTCAAACATCTCTGACTGATGAGTATCATCACTTCCCTGACATTTCCTAGCCAAAGTGCTCCTGGTGGCATAGGATCCAATTCTGCAGTTGTTGGGTAAAATAATAATAACAAGAACAATAATTTAAAAATCCATTAATATCCAGGGGGAACTTGGTCTGTGTCGTGATTACAGGATTATTTCTTAGTTTGTGACAAAAGGGATGTCCTAGAGAGGAAATCACACAGTGGTTTGTGTTGGAAGGGACTTTAAAGACCATCTAGTACCAACCCCTCTGCCATGGGCAGGGACACTTCCCACTAGATCAGGTTGCCCAAAGCCCCATCCAGCCTGGCCTTGAACACTTTCAGGGATTGGGCATCCACAGCTTCTCTGGGCAACCTGTGCCTGTGCCTCATCACCCTCTGAGTAAAGAATTTCTTCTGAATATCTAATCTAAATCTACCTTTTTTTAGTTTAGAACCATTACTCCTTGTCCTATCACTACACTTCCTGACAAAGAGTCCCTCCCCAGCTTTTCTGTAAGTCCCCTTCAGGTACTTGAAGGCTAGTATAAGGTCTCCCCTGAGCCTTTTCTTCTCGAGGCTGAACAACCCCATTTCCCTCAGCCTTTGTCATAGGTGAGATGCTCTAGCCCTCTGATCATCTTTGTGGCCCTCCTCTGGATTAATTCTAATATATTTATTTCCTTCTTGTGCTGGGGGTCCAAGAGCTGAACACAGTGCTCCAGGCGGGAGTACTCCAAGGGAATAAGAAATGATGAAATTGTAAAGAAAAACCTCTACTGCAAAGTTGAAACTCCATAGAGAGAGGTGAAAGGGAATCCTTCTTTCTTTCAGAAGCCAGAGCTGCATCCTTCTGTAAGATAGAAAAAGAGCTATTTGGAAAGCACGGGCAAAGTAACTCAGGAATAAATAAACAAATAAATAAATAAATAAATAAAACTGCCTGTAAAAGTAAGGCCTGGATGTCAGTTTTGTTAATACCACATAGAATAGTTATTCACGAAAAGTCTTGCTTCCCAGCCTTTTACTGTGAGAATGTGCTCGTAACAGTGTTTGCAAAAACTGATACTACTTTTTTCCCGTTTCTCTGTTTGAAGAGTTTTCATTTCACAAACTGAGCACATGATGCAACTTCTATTATGACCAGTGACAAAATCCCACTGATATAGGTGAGAATGTGTCAGTCTCACTCACAGACCAGAAAATACTTTCATATTATTTACTAAGTTGCATTCTTATTATTGTTATATTTATCAACTAATATCCACAATGGTGAAAACTGTACTGATGTCAATGGTCTTTTTCACCCATGGAGCTTTCAGAACATTTAGAAACTTCATTGATTAATTATAAACATGTGTATGATTAAATCCCTTCACCAGCCTCTCACTGACACCTTATAGGAGACCTTTCCCAATCCCAGAACAAACTAATATGGTTGATGGCACTGAACATTTAGCCAAATTATTAAAACAAACAAACAAACAAACAAACAAACAACTTCTTTTTATCTTCTATAACTTCACTTCTCTGCATTTTATTCTAATCCATACTTTCTTAGGCCTCTGCTTTTCCACCTTCTGGTAAAATCTGCCTATGAAGAGTTAAATGTCAAAAATAATTTTATAACCCAGTGAATCTCTATATGGATAAATTCAGTACTTAATCACATTTTCTTACCTCTGTCTGCAGGTAGTAACCCCAAAATATTTGAAATAATTTGTTCATTCTGACCACTGGAAAAGTATGTATCTGATTGTCGTCAATTTTGAGTGACATAAGACTGAGTTCATATATTAGTAATATAATTTACTAATATTTCATACTATTTTTTAAGGCTCCTGCAATGAACAGTTTAGCTCAGATGAAGTAACTAAACACCGTAAATGGTGATTACCAAGGCAATATTAGAAAATCATAAAGAATCACTTAAAAACATAATCAGAAGTGTACATGAAATATTTCCCCCGCCTCCCCCCCGCAACCTCCTCTGTAAGATGTCCACTACAAGCTTGTGTGGCGCTTGAGACAAGCTATGATGAAAGACACTTTAAATGACTCAGGAGACAATAAAACATCAAATGGCTCGGTACTGTCTTTTTGCAGGGAAAAGTCACCCTTCTCTTTGCAGAAATAAAGTCTTTGTTCTAGAATACTGCATTTGCTGCTGCTAAAATACAATTTAATTGATTGCCAATTGGCTGAGACATGGAGAAAACCACAAACATTTGTGTTCAATTGGTCATGAAATATCTAGATTAACATTTACAGAGCTGTTAGCTAACTCAAGTTAATTGGCAATCAATTTACAGTGAAAATCACTGTAAAAGAGGAGCAAAAAGTCCAGATTCATGGACTTGGCTAACAGTTTTCAGTTGTCTTCTTAAGCTTATTGCCAATCAAACTTTCCTAGATATATTTTCAAGCTAACACCTATTTGAGGAAAATGGATACTAAAATGTGACTCGTTTTCTCTCTTTCTCTTTTTATTAGATTTATACAAAGCCTGTTTGGGGACATTCATTCGAATACCTACGATATCAATTTTGCTGAAATGGCCTCAGCTAGGCTAGATGAAACCATGATCTAGGTGAGGAGGTGAGTGCATCCTGCAGTGCCTCAGAGCAGGGTGTCACCTTCCCCCACCCACCTACTCTCACCCCTTGCAAGACATCTCTGGTGGATGGCTCTCATGTATATCTGCATATACATTTGCCCTTAGAAGATGGATTGCTTATTTGAAAAGCAATTTGTAGCAAAATTATTATGAATAACAATAATGATAATGTAAACATATGCTTTGAAGCTGCAATAATTGTGTCCATTGTAAATAATTAAATGACAATAATAAATTTCATAAACTGAAGAAAAGTCACACCAGCTACTTGATCTGAATACTGCCTGTTTAAAACTATGGAGCAGCTACTTGAGACAGATTTCCTCACATGCGCTTTTCAATCTAAACAACCTAAAACCAGGATATGGATATGGTGTAGATAGATAGATAGATAGATAGATAGATAGATAGATAGATAGAATAGGATATGTTGTGCAGATTTTGACCACAAGCTGGCCTGCATATGCCACTGTAATTTATACAGTTGATTACCTTCCACTTTCTCAAGGATATTAACTGGCATGAACCTTCATTTTTTTTCATTTCCAGTAATTAATTCCCTGTAAAGAGTGACTGAAAACACTAAACAAAAGCATTTAATCAGAAATTATTAGAGTTGGCTTGTCAGTCGTTTGTTAATCACCATTCATTTTTGTACAAGGAGTGAAAATTTTATTAAACCTTATACTTAATTAAAACATATTGTTTCCGTAGCAGATTGGAAAGTACTGTCATCTGTTTAGACTTGTATCCTAAGATTCATTAAGAATTCATGTTTCCTGCAACATGTAGGCATTTAGAAATTCATTCTGTTGGGATCTGTATGGAGGTACAAAGGGTGATGGTTGTAGCACAGTGAAGTATTCTTTTATTGAAGGCCTTCCAAAACCTCACCATAATGCAGACTGACAACGCAGTGAAGGAATACTAATGAAAGTGAATGGGCTGAAAACTAGAAAGTGAAGAATAGTGAGGAAAAAAATTGTTTCACAGATTTTAGAATTCCTTATAGTCTGATCTTGTGAGTGATATACATGTAAGCACTAGAATTTTGTACAATCATTCCTCCTTGAGTCTTTATTACAATACTTATATATATGTGATATATGTGTAAAAAAAAAAAAAAAAAGTGTATATTTGGCACATCTAAGGAAGTGACTACAGCAGTTTGTTCAAAGTTAATGAAGCCAGATTGCTTTAGTGTAACATTCCTCCAAGAGTCAGAAGGGAAAATGCAGAAAAAAAATGACAGTGACGGATTACTGTTTATTATTAGAGCAAGGTGCAAAGACTTGCAAAACACTGCCTGTTTTCAATGTCTGTTTACATACATTGGCGTCCTGGTGCATGTTATGTAGGAACATGTAAGAGGTGTGTATCTCATTACTTTTCTTTCTGGGCAGATTGTTCCATGGGCTCTAAGTATTTACAGAATGTAAAAGACACTGTTGTATCCAGGAAGATGACTGAGCCACAGTCAGCCATTTGGCCAAAGCTGAGGTTGAATTGGCTTGTTAGACTAAGGTAAAATAAGGGAATCTCAGCTATACATTGTAGGACCTTGCTGTTATCTAGCTTGCTATTTATTACCCCATCCCTGCCTGTGCCTTGGCCTAGACTTTATGTTTGGCTCTGTGGATTTCTTGACTCTTCACCACTTTCTTTGCCATTTTTGCACCAGAAACTGTAGTTTGGTGTATCCTTTGGTTTTCTTAATTTCTGTCTTTTTCTTCTATCCCTGACACCAGCAATTTGCTAACAGCATCCACATCCCAGGTGTATTGTTGCTGTGATGACATTAAAGAGATTGTACCGTGAACATATATTCAGACGCAACAGTAACAAGTACAGTGCTTCACCAACAGACAGAAGCATATGTAGGTAAAAAAGCATTAACATTTTATATTATTGCTATTTAACATTAGTAACTATTGATTATGTAAGTAACATAGCTGATCCCAAGAAAGAATCACAGCTTTACTATTAATCATTTCCAGTCCAGGAAGACAAACAGCAGGCAAAGTGTAGGGGGAGAGGGATGAATACATTTTTTAAAAACAAATGCCATCTATTTCCATTGGCCCTCTGCCTAACCATTATTAACTTGCAATAGTTTGTAGGCATCCAAGTTGAATCTTCCTGCTGTTACTAGAAAATTTTTCTTGGCACACATATGAAAATAATTTCCTTTTAAATTCAACGTTATGTTATTACAACATCCACGCTGATAGTCTGATGGTCAAATGGTCAAAGCTACAAAAGAGAAAGCTTAGGCAATCATATCAATATGTATATATACCTGAAGAGAGGGTGCAAAGAGGACAGAGCCAGCCTCTTTTCAAAGGTGTCCAATAACAGGACAAGGGGCAATGGTCACAAGGTTAAATGCAGTAGGTTCCATCTAAACATCAGGAAGCACTTTTTCACTGTGAGGGTAACTGAACATTGGCACAAGTTGCCCAGAAAGATTGTGAAGTCTCTCTACTTTGAGATATACCAAAACCATCTGGACATGGTCCTCTAGGTCGCCCTGCTTGAGCACAGGGTTTGGACCAAATGACCTCCAGAGGTCCCTTCCAAACTCAACCATTCTATGATTCTGTGAAATTTGATGATTGTACGTTTGAGTATCACACAGAACCATCATTAGTGTGTGATGATGACTTTATATCTTTGACCAGCCTTGTCTAGGGATACCCAAATCTGCCTCTTACCCAGTCATATAACAGGCATGTTTATTATTCCATGCCAGTCACACTTGTTTATTCCTGACATAGTCATGGCACTTATGACTCCTCATGCTGCTGTGACATATGACCCTTACACCATAAATATTCTTTTGTATTACACAAGGGTATCACTATGGAAGGAGGATTATGTGAGGTCATGACTAGAGTCCGATCCTGCCTCATCTCCAGATGTACAAGCAGAAAACACTTGAGTGGATTAATATATAAGTGGCTTTTAGGGGCAACTGTCCCTTTGTTCTGACATTGCTAGGTGAACAGAAGGATTGGTGTTGCTAGATGGCCCCAATCTGTTCAATAACCATCTACATCAGCTTATAACACAGGATAACCTTGGCCAAGAGCATCCAGTGGAACCTGACTGCCTTTTCCACATACACAGGCACATTACTTTTTAATTTTAGGCTTGTACATTGACAGCTACCACACTTGGTCATAGTTGGCAGTTCATCTCATCTCCCCTTCAACGACCAAAAGAACCAGTCACAGCAACAATGTCACTTCTAGCAGAAAACTGTGCAAGCCACAGTTGCTCTGCTAAAACAGAAGACAAAGAGAGAAAGAAAATGGTGATATGAGAAGGTTTATAGGGTGGACTTTTGCTTCTAGCTGTCTAATGGACTACTCTGGTAGAATGGAGTTGCTGGAGGAGATTTTTCACTTCTTGATAGCTTTGTAATTTTACTACCATATGTAGAAAAATTGCTAGTTTACCACATTTATGAGTGCTTATTAGAATTATATGGTCCTGTTGGATCTAGAAGAACTGATAATTCATGTAACGAATTTAACAGGAATGTGCCTCCTACACAGCTGATGTGCTGAATGAGGTCCCTTTTCTGTTTAGGCACCTTATAGCTGGTACATCAAGTGATGATTCTGGTAATTCAAGGACTGAAACCAGGAAAATGTCTTCTAAAAACTACTGCATTTTTCATGTGGATGAATTCTTTGTTCTTTTATCCTATATCTGCGTTTCTCAAAAAGAAAATTCAAACCATACTGCATTGTCAGGTTTTCCCTCCAACTCCTTACACTTTGCTATTGACCCTGCTATCAGTGTTTTTACCTTGCTAGCATCTGGGTTGCCAAGCTGGAATGAGAGAGAGGATCTCATCTTGGGACTCACCTATCCTGACTTTAGAAATTAGTACTGTAATTAAGGGAAGTATTAAAATAATGACAGCAAGCTTGGCTTTCAGAAAAGTCTGTGAGCTGAAGCCTGGTAGTTCCAACCATTTACTTGGAATCAATGAAGTCCAGAAGATGTGATAAAGATTAATTGTTGTATAAAGCAAAAACACCTATGAGAAAGAGTCTTGCCAGGCCTGCCTTGGATACCTTCAGAGGACTGAGCAAAGCCTATGAAGTCAAATGTTAGAAAAATGCCAAGGGTGTAGGTCTGCCTTAACAGTGTTAGCTTCATAAGCATTGGGGTTTGAGAGAGACATGAGATTTGACTAGAACCTTCCTGTCTTGTGACATTTAAAAATAAAGATTATATTTCTGGATCCTTCTGCTCTCCCAAGGAAATGAATTACTAACCAACTGCAGAAAAGCTCAGAAGGTGAGTGAGAATAGCATGACTGTATGCTACAGACAATCAAGTAGTGAAAACAGTGGGAGGAAAATTGACGGAGTAACAGCGTGCAAAGGTAGTGTCCTGGAAAAATCCTTTTATCACAGGTTTAGGGATCAATCCTGCAAAGACCTTAAGTGCTAATAACACATAATATCACTATCTAAAGTTCTGTCTAGACTTGGAGACTGAGGCCAGTTTGTCCTAGATTATGCAGATTTCAGGGTGATTAGATGAAGTCCCTAGTCTTTTTTTTTTTTTTTTTTTTTTTGTGTGATGTTAATGAAAAGTGTTCATTAGCATGTAATTAATTCAGTAAACGTCTGTTCAGGTGCAAATGTAAAGGCATAGGGCAAAGAAGTGCTTGGTCTTTAACAGAAACAGCAAAAAGCTTATTCCTCAGAAGAATTCACTACTTCTTAAACTGTTAAAGTCAAAGATTAGTAAAAGGAGGTCTCTTTATCTTGAGTGCTCAATGGCAAAAGATCTTGTTAATATAATTTCATTTATATTGTTGGATCTTGAGCCTTTCCACACTGTTAAAATCAGCAACATGTGAAAATGAGAGTGAGGAGGTTTCAATGATTTACTCTTCTCTCTGGTACCAAGAGGAGTCAGTCAAACTAATTTTAAGGTAATCAATGTACTTTTGAACCACCACAGAACACATAGCCAGTCTGGAAGAAATCAAGACTTACAGAGAACTTCTCCAGTAGGTGTTAGAGTGTTCCAATCTTCTCAACAGAAGTTTCTCGAAAATGAAAACACCCCTTAGAGATAAGTACAGAGAGAAACAATGCAGCTCTAAGAGGTGTAAACGGCTCTATTCATCTTGGTGGATTCTCATCCTTCTTGTTTGTGGCCAAGGTCTTAA